TTCTGATAGTTGATGGTTTCAAGGGTAACTCCATCTTATCTCTTAGACTATCAATGTCCTATTTCTCCCTAAGATAGCTTTCAGTTTTCAGGCGTACGCAGCTATTACCAAGGCTAGAACTTACCAAGGTGTTGTTTTCAAAGCCAAAGGTCAGTAAACTACAGCCCTTGAGCCAAATCCAGCCCACTGCCTGTTTTTATAAATAAAGTTTTATTGGAATACAGTCATATCCACTTATTTACACATTGTCTATTCCTTCTTTCATCTTACAATGGCAGAGTGAAGTAGTCAGAGAGCCTGTACTGTACAGCCTAAAACATTTATTATCTGGCTTTTTACAGAAACTGTACGCTGACTCTGGGTCTACACCATGAATAAAGCCTGATCTAGGACTGCAAACTTCTTTATGTCTACAGACCCAACAGGTGGTGAGCAGGACTGTGTCTCTGCTCACCTCCATTACGCTAACAATGAATACATAGCACTTGGCTCACAAAATGTGCTCAACAAATGTTGACTACGGGCTGAGTCTTGGGGACTGTAGAATGCTTTTGGCTGCATGTAACAGAAAATCAGATTGCAATCACCACTAAAGCACACCAAAAGACACTATACTACTTAAAGAAGAAGTCCAGAAGTGTGGAAGGTTCTAGTAAATCAGGATGCTGACCTCAGTTCTCTGCCATTCTTTTGGCTCAGCTTCACTGCTGAGCTGGCCTTCATACTCAACAACTGGGATAACATGGTTTTACTGAACCTGCCCAGTGGGAAAGACAACCTTCCATAAATTTGGGCTCTATGTCTGAGTGGGTCATCTTTGGTCCCATGTCCACCTCCAGACCAGTAATAGTTACCAGAGGAATCCCAGACAAGGGATGATTGCTCTAAAAAAATCTAATGCTGGAGCTGAGCAAAACTGAGCCTTGCATAGGGAGGAAGAAAAGAGAAATGTCTGCAGTAAGAAAACTGACAGATTTCACCACTGAGGCAAGTCCAAGAACAGGTGCCAAAGACAAAGTAAGGCCAGATATGTTTTCACGCATCGTGGTTAAATGAAAATGACAGCTTCTTAGTGAGAAGAAAGCCCGCAAATGAACTGCTGAAATAAATAGGCACTCAGAAGTTGGAGATTTGTTATAGAGGCCAATACCACAAGGTAGACATTTAACAGGATTTGTTTTTAGGTGTGGAAGATCAAGTAGAGTAAGAACTGGTTAATGAAATGTTTTTGGAGTGGATACTGTGAGCCATGTATTCGTGTATGTTAGGCTGAGTTCTTCCAAAGTTAGAAAAATCTAAGGAACAAGACAAATCAACAAAGATTTTTATCGTGTGCTTCCAAATGGTCAGTATCTTTTTTCCACTTGCAATTACTGTTGACAGCTCAATTTTCTTTGCATCAGTTCTTCCCTCTTTCTTCACTGCGTTAAAGCCATCAACAAATCTAAGTGATTTGTTCTGCACAGAGAATATTTAAAGTACTTACTCTCTAACAGTCAAAATCTGTGTCTAGATATCTCCTACCACTCCTTCCTACTTGGTCTGAAGGAGAAGAATAAATATATTTGAGCCTCTTGGATCAACCTAGCACTCTGGTTGTAGGCAGATGTCTCTCTCTAGCCTACAATTCATGGCTAGAAGTAATTATCAGGCTTCTCATGTGCCTTTGGGTGAAGAGCATCCTTAGAAGCACCCAGAGGTCACTCCCACCTTAATTAATGCCACCCTTCAGGGGCTATGTGGACTGTGGAGCACAGTTGGGGAACAGGTCTAAAATGTTGATTCAGTACCATTTTTACACTTTTTAGTGTTCTATTTTCTTTCTTTCTCTCTAAGGACAATGTACTCAAGCGAATAAACCCACAAACAAACAATAAATCCACTCCTTTCCAAACTTCAATGTGCTAACTTTCCAGATCAGTATGTTCTCTGTAATTATCATAACTCTTAAACATTTTCTTTAGCTTCCATTTCCTTCTAAAACCTATTAGCAGAATCTGAAGGCAAGAGTGCTTCACAGTAAACAGCTGAAACCCAGTTGATACATATTGGCCAACATCAAAATCCTTTTCACATTTCAAGGCTAAGCTCTAATGCTACCTCTTCTGAGAAACCATTCCTTCAACTTCTATCTTATTCATAACAAATTACTTATTCCTCCAGATGCCCACAAAATATCCAACCTACACCTCTGGAGCACGGTGAAAACAATTACTGTAATAGCACAAAAGTTCACAGTTGCAATACCATAAATTGTAATAGCTTGCAAAAAAGGTTTACTGTTGCTACACTATAAATTCTTTGCTTTGATGATTTTGGAGGATATCAAGGAAAAAGGACTACGTTTCCAGTCTGATCTGGCTAATCTCCTGGTTGCATTTTTGAGGAACTAACTGGAAGATGCTGGTTCATGTGCAAGTGATTTATGGCATGCTCTCAGGAGGAACCTGAAAGGAGTAGGGGAGGCAGAAGGTGGGAAGGAAAGGGGGGGTAAAGCAAGGGTGTGAATTTCCACTGACGTCCAGCCTCAGCACGATCCCACGGCTGCTCTGAAACAGGAGTTGCACTGCAGTCTGTCTTGCCTTGAGGCAAGGGGTTTCTGTACCTGTAAGCCACTGGCTTAGAGCTGCCCAGTAGGGACAGAAACTCAACTTTCACCTGGTGCTTGTGGCTCTCTAGTCCTACAGGCAACTCCAGCCACCCAAAGGCAAGTCCTCTAAAGAAGGTAGTAGGTGAAAATCCTTAGAAGTAAAGTACGTGGAAACTGGGAAATGAGAGCACAGATCCAACAAAGGGCCCCCAAGCGATCTCAGTGAAGCACTGATGGTGTTGACCACAAATCATAAATCAAGGGCAACACAAACCAACAATAAGCCCAATGCTTTTAGCTAGCAATGATTGAGTGCTTACTGCATGCCAGCACTGTTTGAAGCTCTTGAAAATATTAGCTTATTTAATCCTTACTACAACCTTATGAGGTAGCTCATGTTATTATTTCTGTTTTGTCAAATGAGGAGACTAGATTTATCTATTGAAGCAACTTATCTAAAGTGATACAAAGATGTCATGGGGGGACTAAGATTTGAATTAGCAAATATAGATGTGTGACTCAACAGCGTGCACTCTAGACACCATGCCGCCCACGTCGGCGTGGCTTCTCAATACACGAAGCTGTTAAGTGTCAGAGCCTGAGTCATTTGGCCCGGGCTCAGATTCTGGTAGCTCAGAACAAAACGAGAAGACACATCTAAAAGAAAAAAACTGCACTAACTAAATATGAGCCGGTGTTGTTATTCAAGAAGGGAACAGACATTGCCACTTAAAAAAAAATCTGTTTTCTATAAAAGTATCTCTTAGATCTGTAAAAGTCTTTCTTCTGCTACTCTCAAAATGATTAAAGAGCCAGGAAATCCACAACCTTATTCTTGATAGCTGTTGTATATTATGCGATTTGGCAAATTTCATTACAGAGAATAAGGAAAGAAGATAAGGGAAGAAAAATAAAGAAAAAGGAAGAGGGGGTATAATGGATTATTACTAAAAGTTATTGAGAAGGACAGAAAGAAATATTCTGAACAAAGTCCTATTCACTGTACCTCAGTCATTCCTGGGATCTAGTTATTAAATTCTTTTTTTCCTGAACAGAGTGATTTTTAATTCCCCCAAGAATATTGTCAAGAACTGTTTAGTACCTTGCCCCCCATAAACAGTATAACTTTTTGCAGTGCATTAGAAAATTTAGTCACTTTCCACGACTGAACTACCAATGCCAAAAATATCATTTCTGATTTCTTGAAAATCATTAACTGCATTTAACTGCCACCTGAATTCTAGGCATAGATAAAGTGCAATAATTTTAATCAAAGCTTTTGTTTAAGATTGGTTGAATATGTTGGAATGATGGAAGTAAGAATTCTGAGCTCTTAACTATGAAATAAGCATCAATCAAGAATATTTCAATGTATTTTCAATTCTAAGGATCCTAGTTCCTTTAGGCACATTGATTATTTTTGCAACATGTGAAAATAATCTTACAACAAGATTTCTCCTCAAGTAAAATAAACATAAGCTTCTGAGTGCAATTTTGGGAGACACGCAACACACAAAAGCTACATGTTGCATAGTAAGCAGTGACTGAGGCGGGAACTCTGTTTATCTCTGCTCCTGTATCCAGGGGTAGACATAATAACCAAATATATTTATCAAGCAGGACAGGACAGGCAGCAACCAATCACAATGAATACAGCAACCAATCACAATGATGCTGTGATCATTTGGAACAGAGGATATAACCAATCAGAATGGATGCTGGCTGAAACATAGGTGAGGTCATACCTGGGGATCCAGCTAAATACCAGCCCTGCCTATAACTGATGTGAAACTCAACTATGCCCGTATTATTCAACTTTCCTCCCACAGAAACTTATTTCAAGAAATTCAGGTGATCTCTGGGAACTTTTCACTCTGTAGACCCACTTCCTCTCCCATCTCTGGTCGAAGCAAATTCCCAGTAAGACTGACCTGAGAAAGGCATTATCAGCAAACAACAATTAACATTTGTTGTGCACTTAGGTACCAGGCACTGCACATGTATTATTGTCCTTAATCTTTGCAACAACCCTATAACGTAAGTACTATTATCATCCTTGTTTTATTGATGAGGAAACCAAGGCACAGAAAAGCTGAGTCACACAACTAGCACATCCGAGAGCTGGTACTCAAGCCTGGGCAGTCTTTCCACTTAACTACTGGTTATGATGTCATTAGCAAATGGACAGTCTCATCAACACCATATTTACAGCTCTATTCCATCCTTCAATCTGGTTAACTGATAAAAGTACCAAAGATGTTTTCTAGTATTTGAGCTATTGCTGGGAGCCCATGAAGTCACTGACCAACACTGGTCTCCAGTGTGGTTGCAGTTGCCCCATTCCTGATTTAAATTGCTTCAAACTAACAGAAAGCAGTCAAAGAGGGCAGGGAAGATAAAAGAATCTTACCTTATTCTCTTGTCCTCTACTTTTTTCAAATATTCGTCTCTCTTCAGGACTCCCAGGATCATTTCCTTCTCATGATCTAATAGAAATGACAGGTTGATGAACTCTGAGTTCTTAGACATGGTATTTCAGCAGCAGCTCGGAGTAGCAGTGGTTGAATCTTCTAGTTGAATAGATTTCTACAATTCTTAAGGTCCCCTTGAACCACCCAGTGTCACTCAGTTGCTTGATGTACAGAGACTTTTTACAAGGTCTCTGAATAGCTGATGGTAGGTAGGTATTCTTCCAGGCCACACAGAAAACAGGCTCCACTGGAATTACATTTCCAGAAAGTCATTATTGTTTTAACTGAAAAAGGTCCAGTGGCAGCTGAACTTCCCTAATGATGCTTAACGTCAATCCAGAAAGCTACGAGCAGGAATCAGATCCACTGGGACAGAATCCAGAAAACACTGAAAAGGTGGAGAAAACAAAGGAGAGAAAAATTAATTAGGCCATTTTCCCCATAGCACTGAAGACAGACACTTGTAAGAGGGTCTAATTTTTAAAAAATACTCTTTAAAAAAAATTTGGGGGGGGAGGCAATTAGGTTTTTATTTATTTTTTTATTTAATGGAGGTACAGGGGATTGAACTCAGGACCTCAGGCATGCTAAGCGAGTGCTCTACTACTGAGCTATATCCTCCTCCCTAGAGGGTCTAATTTTTTAAACACTCACATACCTAACTCGAAAAACACTTTTTATTCAGAAAATATGCATTTATTAAATAATTATTGTGCTTATTACCATAAAATAGTACTTATACTTAGTGGATTCCAGGTTCTCTGTGTCAATTCCATTTCCTCCGTTATAAGGAGCTTCTTCTACCAGCCAGACCCCATCACCATCCTTACAGGTGACCCACGGGTGAACTGGGTCACCACTTTGGGACGATAAGTGCATAAGCTGGACTGTCCACAACAGGACAGGTCCCTTACGTGGCTCTATTCTGCCCTCCCTCCTCAAAACTAGGAGTACCACCAAAAAAAGTACCACTGACAAAACAAATATGAACCAGTGCTACATGTAGCAACCTAAATCTCTCTCACAAACACGAATCTTCAATGAGAAAAATTAAGTTGCAGAACAAATCATGCAGAATAACAGCACACGCATGAAGGAAATAACTTTCAAAAACATTATATCTAATTTAGGACCACATACATTTGTAGTACAAATATGAGGAAATTCATGGGAGATCCACACAGCTGCAATCAGAGAGAACACAGGAACTTCAACTGTATTGGGTGATGTTTTATTCTCAATATAGGTTTATATCTGATGATATACATGTATGTGAACTATTCCAGGCCTGTTTTACATACTGCAGAATAGATGTTTTAAAACTACCCCTCTGTCAGCATAAGCTCACCAGGCCCTCTTCCTCATACTAATTCTTTTTTTTTCTTTTTCTTTTTTTTTTTAGGAGAGGGAGGTATTTACATAGATAGGTAGATATATAAACATACACATATATATAAAAACATATATCTGGAGGTACTGGGGATTGAACCCAGGACCTTGTGCATGCTAAGCACACGCTCTATCACTGAGCTTCCTCTCCACTCCTCATATTAACTGTTGAGCACATTCTTTTACTGGCTTGGTACCTGGATTCTCTCTGTACAGCCCCTTAAGGATGATGGCTCTTACCGTGTCCCACTGAGTTTTGTGATTTGGCGTCATCCCTTGACACTGACCCTTGGCTTCCCCCAAGGTCTATGAACTACAAACTACATACTTGGTTTGCTTGGTTCTAGCCAGGGTTCTAAGCATAACTAGATACTTATTCAAAGACTGCTTTGGGACCTCCCATTAACCATACGTCAGGTTGACCTCAGAATCTGGAAGGATAGGGTCTTGTCCAGGGCCTCTTTAACTTTCCAAAGCCCCCATCTGTTTGTTCTCTACATCGTATACCGAACCAGAACTTTGCTGAAATGACTCAGAACTGAACTGCTTCCTACAGACCATGTGCTATCCCGCTCAGAGGAAACTGCCCAGGTCTGAGAGAGTGCAGACTCTGGAAATAAACTCCAGGTCTTTCCTCTATCTCCAAAGTACTAGAGGCTGCAGGGATCAGAGGAGCCCAAGGTTGACATGAACAGGAAGCAACAAGGTTCAGAGCAAAAGGGGCTCTTCAGAAAGGTCTGGTTTTTACATCACTGTCAAATGCAATCCTCTCAGATAAAGAACACAATTATTTTTTTCTGCCCCTTATGTGTCTCATCTGGTTTCATGCAGAAACAAAAAAACCACGTGGTAACTCAGATAATGAATATGTTATCATTACAGCCAAGTTCACTTATAAAGTATTTTATATTTGAAACCACAGTTAGAATGTCCTATGTGAATATTCTATAGAAGTGTGTTCAGAAATTATCCAAGGGGTTGGAAGCTGTAAAAATGTGTTACCTAGAGCTTATGGTTATCCTTGCCTTGAGTTGTATATGCAAGTCTGCCTTCTAAAAATCTAAGGGTTTATTCATGAGGCAAATAAAGGGAAGGTAGCAGTAACACCATGGTGGTAACACAGGAAGGTGAGAGAGAAGATGGGAAATCAAGCATGGATAGAAGGAAAACAGAATTAGTCAGAGAGAGCTGAATTCACCCTAAAGTAGCCCTAAGCGGATGTTTACTCATCTAGATCTGGACTGGGAGAGTTGATGTCTAAATGAGTGACCAAGGAGATCAGAAGTAACCCAAATGTTATCAAGAAAATCAGGCTGTTTCTTCCGGAAGGCAGGACAGGACTGTGACTATAATTCAGGAATATGGAATCTAACTGATGGTAATCCAGTCCTTCTGGAGAAATACAGGGTGGACACGAGGAGACAAGAGCTTAGACGTAGATAAGGGAGATCCAGGGAGCTAGATGCTGTGGTGCCCTCCAGACTCTGACCACAGCAGAAGCATTTGAGCCTCAAAAGGAAAATAACCTATTTGTTCCCAGTAGTACGTGTTCCATGTTGGGTGATGAGGCTTCAGTCTGGCCAATTTTCATGCCATTAGTCACTCACACCATAAAATTCTTTCCTCTTGCTTTTATTTCACTTCTTTCTAAGACACTTCTGGTTGTAAGTTGGCTTCCTATTCAGCTGTCCCTTCAGGAAGTAGATGTCCTGGTCCTGCTAATGGAACCCTCTATGTCTGGTTTAGTTTGAACCTATGTCTGATCCATTCACTGTATGCTGACCGAATCACATCTCTGAGCCTTTGGAGGACCAGCATCTGGGGTTGGGATGAGTTCGCTTAAGTATGCACCTTTTACATTTAAAAAAATTTTTTTAAACTTAAGTATAGTTGCTGTACAATATTACATAAGTTTCAGGTGTAAAATACAGTGAGTCACAATTTTTAAAGGTTATAAGTATGCACCATTTTTGATGCCTATTTTCAGCTAGTTCATAGCCTCTCTCGTTGAAGCCCTTACCCCACTATGTACACACTTTAATCAAGTGAAAAAATGAGTAAAAATAATCATGAGTACATTTTATCCAGAGTTGATTCTCCCTCGTTTAGTTAAATGTGCCCAGTAAACACTAGACAGATTAGGAGAGACAACTTCATTTTTATTTTATTCCTCAGCATCTTCACTTAAACACATCTCTCTCCTTAAACACTTCACATGTGGATTTTTCCCTCTCTGGCCAGTAGCCTTGCTGAACTGAGCTAAAATATTTTAAAAGCTGACAAGATGGTTTGCGTGTCATGCTGCTGCCTTTCAGCAGAGATAGCTCAGCGCAGGTCATTAACTCTGCAGAGTATCAGACAAGATGTGATAATCAAAAATCCTCAAAGCGTCAAAGACCTAGGTTTTTAAAAAAACTATCTGTTTTGCATAATATACATTTAAAATTAATAGGGGCTGATATTTCAGTCACAGGAGAGGGTCTGTTTGAATGTATCCCATTATTGGGTATTTGAAATGCAGCTTTAAAAACAGAATGTTTCTGGAAGTGCTCTTAGGATGAAATTAATACAAATAAAATTCACTTCCAGTCTGTCTGTAATTATGTGACAACAGTTAGATGGATTTTCAGCACGTTCAGAGGGACGTTTACGACGCTTAGAATAATCAACATATGCAAAATTCACTTGGGAGTGCCTTTCAAATAGAAGAGCAGGCAAGAATACACATGACTGTCAAAAGGTGAGACCCACCATAGAGATAAAAATGCTGTGAGGAAAGAAACAGCCCTTTTACTATGAAATCCAAGCTGAAAGGCTCAAGGGCAGATGTTACAGAATTGCAGGCATTTATTTTGAATAAAGCAGTTTCTTCTCTCATAGGCAACTCCGTGTGGCACATTCCACGGGAGCGCAGTAGTTGAATTTATTTTTCACAATGCTACTGATTCTCCAAACAATAATCAGAAGGCAAAGTAACAATATCACCAGCTTTACAGTGATACTCCAAGAACCACATCCTCAGAATGTCCTATAATAAGAGCTAACACTTAGATAATTCAACTCATTCTTATGACTCCCTCACAGATTAAATTCTAATACCCCCATTTTACAGATTAGAAAACTGACACATACAGAAATTAATCAGTATGTCCAAAGTCATACAGTTAATAGGACAGTATGGATTCAAGGACCCTGTTTCCAACCATTACAGAGACTGTCTCTCAGTGCCTCCAGGGAACAACAGTATCACAACTTTCCAGAATCTTTAATGCTCTGATGTTCACTGTAGACTGTCATAGAACCCTCAGTTTTGAAAGAGATAGTTAACAGTTTTTAATTTCAGCATCATGTATTTCGATATTTTAAAGAGAAGATGATACTTATTTTTTAAAAAAAATTAGTTAGGGAAAAAATCTAAATAATTTCAAGAGGGAAATATTTCAAAGAAAAATTGGCAGACAGACATAATTATCTGGCCATTCCCCTGCATGCTTTTTACCTACCAATACCTATAAAATTCTGTATTGCCAAAAAACACTTCACTGAATATACCATATATAGATTTTAAATATCTGTACAAAGGAAGTCAGTATAAATAAAATGAAAAGAAACAAGCGACAAGCTGGGAGAAGACTGTTCCACATAAAGCAGAAAGAGAATCAATATCTAGAAAATATAAAGAGCTCCTACAAATTATAAGAAAATGAACCAATAAAACAAGGGGCATAAGTAAGAACAGGTAATTCACAGTATTAGCACCTCACACGCAATTCGTAACAACATGAAAAGATGCTTATTTAGCTCACCAAGAATTCAAATGCAAATTACAACAAAGAGAAAGAACACTTTTTAGTTTTTTCATTAAATTACAAAAATGTAAAAAACAAAAATTCAGTATTGAATTTGATCACGTGTGGAAATGGGCACACTCACATCCCATTGATGGAAGTGGAAACAGGTTCAACCCTTAGTTGAGAGAGAATTCTCCATGGACCT